AAATAAAAATGTAGCAGATTAAAGGCCCATTAATCCGGAGCTGCATTCGTGTCCGCAGGTCGTGGGCGCACGCCACCCGACCCGACCCGAGCCCGAGCCCAGCCCGGCCGGCGCGCGTGTGTGTGGTGTGGAGCATAACCTTTGTTTTCTTCTAGGCATAGGAGAGAAAGGGAAGGCTTATAAGGACCCCTTTTTTCTATCCCATTTCCTATGTGGGACTAAACTTTCCCTCTTTTCCTCTACAAAGTCAAGTTTTAAGTTATCTTTTATTATATAATTCCAACAATCCCCCACATAACTTAAAACTTAAAATAATTCAGAAATAACAATAAAAGAAGAACTTAAAAATAAATAAGATTGCTGGTTCCCACATACTATGTAATAGGTGGAGGTACCTTTCGGTTTGAACCTTCACTTAGTGATAGTTGTATAGATCCGTGAGAGCTTGGTGGACTTCGCCTTGAACCAGTCTCATTTATCGGATTCCTACAGAAAGCACACATAGTACAGTTTTGAAGAATTCTAAACGGGTTGCGCTATTATCGGCCTTGCGCAGGTATCTTTCATGTGTGTTACTAGGGAGCAGCCCTGATCCCATAGTCGCGGCCTCACAACTACACACATATAGGTGAATCCTAATAAGGATGCGAGCAAGTAAGCATCCTGCCTCATGGGTCTTGGATTCATTAAGAGTTAGACTCAACCTTTCACTTGCTTTTTATGAGCACTGATCACCCTAGGGATGGGAGCAAATAAATTCAGTGCTCCTCACAATTAATCACTCATTCAGTTTGTTTCTACCCATTGAACCTCTGCGAGGTTGGGTTGCCACTGCAGTGATTTTTCTTATGGGCTTAACCCCATCCCCCTCGATGATTCTAGGACCACTGCCCTAGATAAGCCTTTAGTTAAGTGATCTGCAAGATTTTTCTCTGATCTTACAAAATCTAAGGCTATTATATGGTTTTTCATCTTATATCTCAAGGATTTATGTCGCACTTTCAAGTGTCGATTCATCTTCACATTTGCTTTCTCTTGATGGCATTTGTCAATCGCTGACCTGCTATCACAATGAATAGAAATAGCTGGTAATGGTTTTTGCATTAGTGGAATTTCAGTTAGTAAATCTTTCAACCATTCAGCTTCTATACTAGTAGTATCAAGAGCTATCATTTCTGATTTCATTGTACTTCTAGCCATTACAGTTTGTTTAGTAGATTTCCAGGACACAGCTCCTCCTCCTAAAAGGAACACAAATCCTTTGGTGGATTTTACATCTACGGAGTCACTAATCCAATTTGCATCTGAATAACCTTCTAGTACAAATGGATAACCTTTATAGTGTAAACCATAATTTATAGTTCCTTTCAGGTATCTCAAAATTCTTTCTAAAGCATGCCAGTGACTATTATCAGGATTTGATGTATATCTACTAAGTCTATTTACTGCATAAGCAATGTCAGGTCTGGTGTAGTTTGTTAGGAATCCTAATGATCTAATTATTTGTGCATATTCTCTTTGTAATTGAGGATGACCTGTATTTTTCTTTAGATGTACATTAGGATCATATGGAGTGGAAACAGGTTGACAGTTTGGATCATAAAATTTCTTGAGGATTTTCTCTATGTAGTATGATTGTGATAGCACATATCCATTCTTATTTTTCATGATTTTAGTATTAAGAATTAAGTAAGCTTGACCTAAATCTTTCATGTCGAATTTTTGTGATAAGAAGTGTTTGATATCATTTATGATTTGTATGTCAGAACCAAAAATAAGAATGTCATCAACATATAGGCATAATATCACAATTTTGTTGTTTTTATCTATTTTATGATATACACACTCATCTGTTTGATTAATTACAAATCCATAAGATAGTATAATTTCATCAAATTTCATATGCCATTGTTTTGGGGCTTGTTTGAGACCATATAGTGATCTAATAAGCTTGCATACTTTCTTTTCTTGTCCGGAAGCTATAAATCACTCAGGTTGATCCGTATAGATTTCTTCATCTAAATCTCCATTTAAGAATACAGTTTTAACATCCATTTGATGTATTATTAATTTGTGAATAGATGCTAGAGCTATAAGGACTCGAATGGTAGTAATCCTAGCTACTGGAGAATAGACATCAAAATAATCAATACCAGATTTTTGGGTATATCCTTTAGCTACTAATCTGGCCTTATATTTATCTATTGTTCCATCTGGTCTGAGTTTCTTCTTAAATACCCATTTACATCCTATAGTTTTACAGCCTGAAGGAAGATCAGTTAGTTCCCAAGTATGATTTTGAACTATAGATCGTATCTCATTATTTATTGCTTCCTTCCAAAATGGAGCATCTACTAATTTCATTGCATCTTCAAATGTGATTGGAGAATCTTCTACAAGTAATGCATAGAAATCTTCATGGACCTTCGTGACTTTCAGGGAACCAACAAAAATATAACAACAGTAATATGAAGAGGAATAACAGAGAAGAAGAGAGAATACGTTGTGTTTTTCACACTGTATCAAACTCTACAGATTTAGGTCCTTTTATCCGGAGCTGCATTCGTGTCTGCAGGTCGTGGGCGCGTGCCACCCGACCCGACCCGAGCCCGAGCCCGGCCCGGCCGGCGCACGTGTGTGTGGTTTGGAGCATAACCTTTATTTTTTTCTAGGCATAGGAGAGAAAGGGAAGGCTTAGACCCTTTTTTTCTATCCCATTTTCTACGTGGGACTAAACTTTTCCTCTTTTCCTCTACAAGCCTAAGTTCTAAGTTATCTTTATTATATAACTCCAACAGTACCCTCCCAATCTCGGTAGAGAAGAAAGGCTAATGTGACAAACACGGGCGGCAACAGAATCCGCAAGAGTCTAACAAAAACCATGGAGGAGGAGGATCCCCCCCCCCCCCCGCCTCCGCCGCTGCTGATGTTGGCATGCAAAGGTTAGTTGACCTTCTCCTGCCTCCTGTTCACTTGTCCCTTTCTCCTACTTTTATTCGCTTCCATTTCCCTTTTTATTATAATCACAACCCCACCTTATTTAATTGATTTCATGCTTGCTACAGTTGATGGGTCGGTTTCAATTATGCAATCATCCCTGTTTTTGTCTCTGTCATTAACCATTCATCATCTCAAGCTTCTGCTCTTTCGGTCAACTGGAACCTTGGGTTCTTCTTGGATTCATAATTTCTGCAAAGGGTAATTATCAAAATTTTAGCTTTTTGTCTTTATTATTAATATTATGAAGACCCATGTTGAATTTTGTAGAGATTGATGTTCTTTTGTTGTTGAACTAACTTGGGTTTTGATTGATTGTGCTAACTGACTTCTTGCTTAAGAGATGGTATCTTTCGCTGTATTGATTTTTGGGTTTGATGCTGATAGTAGTTGCTCCTGTTTTACTATATGGAAATTGATTGTAGCATTTAGAATTGGCTAGAGTTGTAGACTTAGAGAATTATTTAAGACTACAACTTTATAGTTCTTTTGCTTTTCTTCATTATTATTACTAGCTTGATTATTTATTTTGAAATATTTTGATTGTTTATTTTGGACTTATGTCTTTAGACTCTTTATACTATAACTCGCTTGTTAAATATTTTATGGCTATCATACAATATATTGCACTAAATAAGATTTTTTTTCTCTTTAAAACCTCCGTTTGATGATGATAACATAGTTATATGTGTTATCTAATCAATCATTTACCTTGTTATATACAACTATCTATCATTGCAAATTCAGAATATTTGCATTATTTAGTCAATCATTAACTTTGTTATATATCTATCATCGCTTTGTATCCAATTAAAGATAAATATATTTTAATTAATTAGTATAGGATTACAATGTAATATCCAAAAGACTCAAGAGTAATATTGACCATGGAAAAATTTACCCAAACTCAAGGGAGTATGATGTGCAGTAGAATAAGAAGTTATTGAGCAACTTTTAAATAATTTAGTACTTAAAAAATTATTGCTTGCAGTAAACTCTCTATTTTATTTTTCTTTTAAACAGCCCTTTTCTCCTACCCTCCTGATACTCGAAATTTGGGGTCCTTGCTGTGACCCAAAACCATGTCTCAAGTATCAAGAACCGAGAGCAAGAAGCTATCCGATGATTATGAGGTCATCGATGTTCTTGGGCGAGGTGGATTCTCTGTTGTGAGGAAAGGAGTTAGCAAATACAATGGGAAGAAAAGCTATGTTGCCATCAAAACTCTCAAAAGATTGGGTTACACTCCTCAAGGGTTCCAACAAAACCCCGCTGCCAGACAAAAAGGCCTTACCTCTTCAGAATTGCCCACTTGGAAACAAACATCGATTTCTGATGCTTTACTGACTAATGAGATTCTGGTCATGAGAAGGATTGTAGAGGATGTATCTCCTCATCCAAATGTCATACATCTCTATGATGTCTATGAGGATGTAAATGGAGTTCATCTTGTATTGGAGCTTTGTTCAGGTGGAGAGTTGTTCGATAGGATAGTTGCTCAAGAGCGATACTCAGAAGTGGAGGCAGCTCAAGTTGTTAAGCAAATAGCAAGCGGATTAGATGCACTTCACAAGGCCAACATCGTTCATCGTGACTTAAAGCCGGAGAATTGCCTCTTTTTGAACAGCAGCAATCGGTCTCCTCTGAAGATAATGGATTTTGGTTTGAGTTCTGTGGAGGATTTCACTGATCCAATAGTTGCATTGTTTGGTTCGATAGATTATGTGTCTCCTGAAGCTTTGTCTCAACGTCAAGTAACTGCTGCTAGCGATATGTGGTCTCTTGGGGTTATAATGTATATCCTTCTTTCGGGGTATGTTTAATATCTTTATTTCTGTACAGGTTTATCTTTTAGTCATTTTGGAGGTATGATTGCTATTTTTCCACTATTTCAGATATCCACCTTTTCATGCAACATCAAATCGACAGAAACAACAGAGAATACTGGCAGTAAGTTCATTTTTTTTAGTTCTCGACTTTTTTTCCTCAAAAATGTAGTGAATTAGCCTATTTAGCTTTCCCTGTCCCTTCTTAATCAACCCTACTTAATATATATGAAAGGTGTTATGTGTCTTCTAATCAAAACTACAATTACAAAATCAATATCGATAAAACTAACAAATGGTCACCTTTAACATAAAACTTGCAACGCCTAAGAGTATAATCCAGCAATTTTAACTAGTCAGTCAGCAATTTTAACTAATGTAACATGGCAACCAGTCAACAAAGCTCAGCACCTAGCACCTGTTCATTGGACTATTTATTAGGAAAACATCGTATAATTTTCAATTATTACCAGCAAAAGTAGAATTGAGATTAGAATCAATAAATAATTTGAAAAGAGTTAGTTGCAGACAGACCCCATTTAGTATCGCCCAGTTGCAGACAGACCTCCCTTAGTTCTATTGATGCGGTTAGACTCCCTCAGTGAACTTTTTGTCTTCTTTAAAGTGAAATCAACCCATTTAAAAAAGAGGCTTGTCGTGGGTAATGAAAAAACTTTCTACGTTGATAGAACAAGAGGGAATGGGGTAATGAAATATGAATACAAGTTAATTGGTTAGTTGGTGGATATGGACGTGAAGGATGGTGAGGATAATAGATAAGAAAATACAAGAAAGGAACACGAAACAAACTCTGCCAATGTCTTCTACTTATGGCAAATTGGTTCGCATGATGCCTAAAATATCTGTTCACTTTCCTGTGGCACTGAAACTTAGAGCCCTGATGTCAAGTTCTTGTCATAAAATTGTTAGATCATGGGTCTTCTCAGTATAGAATTATGCTCTATATTCAACCACTACTAAATGGAGAGGTCATGATTACGAAGTTATAGTTTTCTTAGTATTCAGTTAAGCTCCTTAGCCAACCACTATCTATATTCACAGATGTTGACGTTGAAATTGCATCAAATAAGTTGGTCCCCTATCATGTCATCTTCTTCCTGATAAAAGGTGTTTTCTTCTTCCTTTTTTCCTCATTCTCTAAAGCCTTTCTTGAGCCTCTAACTTATCATTTATTTTCTGTACAAATATGGACGCATCTTTATCGCCAGCCTCATTCAAATTACTGCCTGCAGGAAGTCTCTCATTTATTTCAATATTCTAGGTTAGAGTTGATTTTCAAAAGTCACTACTGAAATGCCACAGAAGTTACTCACTGACCACTTAGTTCTATGCGTCAGTTGTGTTCCTCCAAAGAAATACACTCTTTTAAAACACAATAACTTATTATTCGGTCAAATCGAGCATGAATTCTTGGACAGTGATAAAGACTCATTTTGTAGACTTGTTCTCATGCCGAGTCATATTTTGGTGTCTCCGAAGGATGTATTTAAGCTGTCGTAAACAATGGGCCTGGTTTTGTCTGCCTACATTGACTATTAGACCATGAGACTAACATAAAAGAATATAGACCAAGGTTTAATGATTTTCTATGGAGTCATCTTTGTCAGCATTGCAAGTTATTGTCATGTTTTAGGTAGGTGTTCTCATGGTATCATCATTAATAACAAAGTCTTTTCCCATCATTATAGGTTCGACTATGGAGTTCAATAGTCT